CACTAATTTAAGTTGAAAATTTACGAAATCAACTTTCCTATCTGATTTTAAAAAATAGACATAAATTTTATTTCGTAAATGCTTTATCTTTCTCGAAAACTTACTATATAGGAATAGATAGATTGAAAATGATATTGTTGTTTCTTTTTCTTTTAAAAGAGTTTTGCTTCTCCTGGTTTCTCAAAATTAATTTCTCTCCAAAATACAACTTGAAAATACATTAATAACATTGATGATCAATCTTTATTATTTTATTGTGATCCATTTATTTTATATTTTTAATTAAAAACAATGACGTCCATTTTTATATTAGTATATAATGGCTAAGAGATAAAATCGTACAATTCGTTGACTTTAGTTTGTCCTTTATTACTAATATAATTTAGAAAAACAATAATTTGCATTTTACTTAAATATATAAGGCAAATTCTAAAGATGCATGTATTCGATTTTTTTTTTAAAAAAAAAACAATTTAATGGATAAATGTCCATTTCTAATACTTGCAAAAATCTATATAGGAATATAAATTCATAAAAAATATGAATCGTGTGAGGTCTAATAATAAAATTCGTATTTGATGTCAAATCAAGTATTAGAAACAAAAATTATAATAAAATAATCATGGTAAAAAATAAAAGGAAAAGAGAATAATAGAAGCAATAAATAATAAAAATAACAGAAACAAATAAAATAATAATTATATTCAAGATTTAGAATTTAAAACTATAAATAAATAAGTGTTGCAATGTCAACTAGCAAGCAATATGTTTTTTTTCTTTCTTTTTTTTTGGCTTGTGTAATGTCAACTAGAAAGAGTGTTATGTTGTACTAAGCTAAACTCTATCCACATTATAAATATAAATTATATGTCTCTATAAGTCAGCATGATCTAATGCATTACGAAGAAAATCTTGTTGATAGTGTCACCTTCAAATAGATTATGTAGTGTGCAATTTGAATATAGTCAGGTCTCTAATGTAATTTACGGCACAGATAGAATATGATAGATTGAATTAGTGTTTTAAAAATGTGAGGGTGTGAGGTGAGATGTTTTATGTAGTAGAGACGAGACGTAATCCCGGAGGTAAGTCTTATGGATCACGGGCCATAATCTTATGTATATTCAATTTTATAACTAAGAAAATAAGTAAAAGTAGAATTTTCAACTATTTTACAAATAAATTTTAATAAATAGCCTATAATATATACAAAAATATTATGATTTTTATTTGAGAAATGTATTAATAATCAATAATTAAGAAAAAAATATTATAAATATCATTTGAGAAATATCATTACATCAATAATAAAAATATGATTTAAAGCAAAAAAGTTCAAAATAATAAAATAACGCCTCGAGCGTACGTTTTTACGCTTGAAGCTTATGTCCCAAATTTTAGAATTTACGCTATATGAATCTACGTCTTTAATTTGTGTCTCAAAATATTTTTGATATACCCAGCTCGAGACTCACCTCAAAAAATATTTTTGAGAATACTGGATTTAGATCATTTATAAGGGTCATTTGGTTCATTGTATATGCATGCATATTTAACCCCAAGAAGATATTTTCCTTAAATAATGAAGGATTTGTTTGGTTGATAGATTAGGATTTTTTATGAGATTATTTTATTCTGCTTTATATATAAGATAACTTATCAAATTAGTTATACTAAATTGTGAATAAAATAATCATGAGATTAGATAATATTCATCACTGAATACAAAATAAAATAATCCTATAAAATATTTTGAAATTATTTTCTTTATCCCACCAACAAAAACACTTATAGAATCTGAAAATAATTGTTCACTTCGCAACAATCTCTTCGTTATTAATCATCCACATAAAAGTGTTTTATTTTTTCACATTGTCATTTATTACTAGTAAAAAAAAAAGTGTTACTCCAAAAGGTAAAAGCTTTGGGATTAGAAGTAAGGCTGCGTATCGGTCGATTTGGTTTGGTTTTGAAGTTTATCGGATTGTCTTATTGGTTATCGATTTATAGAGATGCTAAACCATTATAGAACCATTAAGCTATTGACTTATCGATTATTGATTTATCGATTTTTCATCGTTATCGGTTCGGTTATCGATTTAATCGTTAAGATTTGACACAAAAGAAAAAACATTGAAAATCACTTCGAAACAAGGTGACAAACCAAATAAACCATGCACTTGAGTTCACATGTTACATCTTGGTCAAAAGCAAACACTTTTACATTGTTGAATAACCAAGTGTTTGAGACAACCAAAAATAAAAGTAGAAAATCAAATTCTAAGTCGAAGACTTTTTATACAAAATGGTATAAATATAATTATTTAATTTAGTATCGGGTTATCGATTAACCCGTTGAGAAAAAACTTCAAGCCGTTAAAAACCGATAACCCGATAATAAAAAAAATCAAAACCATGATCAAAACCACTAAACCAATAACCCATCGATTCGACTTATCGGTTTCGATTCAGTTTTGAACACCCCTAATTAAAAGGGTAAAAAGATGGTCTAAATTTGGCAAATAAAGTATACTACTAACACAAGCAGCCTAAAGAAAAGGTGGAATGCAAGGAATTAATTCCTTTTTGAGTAAGAATATATTGTCAATTCAGAAAATTAAAATGGATTTTACTTTTACGTGAACAAAACCTTTTTTTTTCATTCTTTATTGGTACTGAAAGCAAATAGTATAACCAATTAAAATAAACAAGTGGAGTGTTCTTTTTATCATTTATTATGCGTGCGGAGTGGGACAAATTAAAAATTATACGAATTAAACTCAATCAGTCCACTCCTATTTCATTGTCATCCCTATTGATAATTATATTAATTCATAACTTCTTTAGATCTTTATAAATAAGTGTGGACACTTTTAAAAAATTTTAATTGTAAATATCATATAAGAAAATATCAATTAATACTTTCACAATTTTTAAATTTATCTAAATATATAGGAGCTTGAAATTTAAAATTCATATGTATGTATATTCCTATTCCTATATATAATATATTCCTATACAGCAGCAACTTAGGTTTGTCCTGCTTGCTTTGCCTAGTTGTCTCTCCAAATTTTATCGTTTATCATAAAATGAGATTAAAAAAATAACATATATTTTTTAAAAAATGACATAAAAATTACTAAAATTACAACAATTATCAATTTAAAATATTTAGGAGACACATAAAAAAATGATTGAACTCTCGAAAGTAACATACACCACAACAAAAATGATCATTAGCGGCATTTAATTTTTAATTGTCGCTAAAATATAAATTTTTAGCGGTAATTGTCACTCTTTGTATATGTCCCTAAAGCCTTTAGCGACATTGGTTCTAATGATCTTTAACTAATGCCGGTAAAGACTTTATCACTCTTTATTAACGTCAATATTTAATGCCGCTAAAAGTTATTTTTCTTGTAGTGATATGTTATCAAAAACTCAAACAAAAAGTACTATAAATTAAAATAATTGATATATTGAAATATCCACATTACAACAAAAAAAAAATGTCTGTGTTGTTCTATTACATAAATTAGGATTGAGATGATTTTAAAATTTTAATTTTGGTTATACATTATAAAATAACCGAATAATTGAAATGCTATAGTTTTCTAAAAATAACCGACTGAACCGTTCTACCCCTAATATGGCCTCTACTTCGTTTATTTTTACTTAATTAAATTTAAAAGGATTTTTTCATCTCATTCTTAATTTCATCGCTACCTTTATTTTTTATTTAGCAATAATATAATTTTTATTCATGTTGCGTTGCCCCAACTTTGTTTACTAGTATATTTATATAAAATTGGGCATGGACAAGGTGATGTTAGAACTCTATAACAAACATCCACATTTTTTCTCATTTTTTTTTTACCATTCTCCTATTTTTTAATTTGTTTTGTTTGTTATAATAATTTTAAAAATAATAAATCAAAAAGTCACTACTTAAAATACTTATTCTATATTTACGTTAACTATCACTTATTGTACTTATTATTATTAAGTCACTTTATAGTACCTATCATTTTGATTTAAAATCCATCTTTAACTAAATATTTTGTGATCTATATCTCCTTTATCTTATGATATAAAATAGATATAAATAAGGTGATGTAATATTCCTGTATGATTAAAAGTATATATTTTTTTTTAATAAATTTTGATTAGTTTTTTATTCTTTCTTTACGATTAACGTGATTAAATGTATTAATCATATTAATGTATTTAAATCTAAATACAGAAGAATTAAGTGCGCGCACTCGTAATATTGGATAAAATGGATAAAAGAGATACATTGACGACAATTCAAAAAGGAACTAACAACAAGTATTTTGGGGGTAAGGATCTATCACACATGGAAGGGAGTAAATGTAAATACAAAGTAGCTATAACAGATAATTTAAATGATCGACCAAGTTAAAAGTCTCTAAAAAAAAAGCTAATCGTATAGTAATATAGTTTAAAAATTATGTAATTAGTTGTTTTTGCTTATTCATTTTAAGACTCGAGATGAATAGCACCTAGATTATGATTCATTGTAGTAACTCTTATATGTAAATATTGATCGTCTATGGTAATCTATTCACGATATATGAAAAGTAAATATATTAAATTATTAGTAAAAACAATCAATCTTTCATCTCCCCGCGTCTAACATCATTAAATTCTGAATATTAAATTATACAATCACTTTTCTTTTCTCATATAAATTTTTTAACTATATATATATCATGGAAAAGAATTTTTGTTCACCAATTGCTTCATATTTTATTATAACGTATTCGTCAATTTTCAGGTACATTTTATTATTATTTGTTTTTGTTTTGAGATATTAATATTTTATAGGATCCTAAGTATGATATTTTGTATCAGAAGAAAGTTTGGTGTTTTCTTGAAGTACAGCATGTGAGTATTTTGATTATCTGTGCTATCTGGGGTTTGTTTCCCCCCCCCTTTTTTGTGCTTCTAGTGAAAGTTCTGGGCTTTGTGATGGTCAAGGTTGTTAAGTTGACGTAGTATCGTTTAAATTCATTGTTAGATAATTACGAAAAGACTCATTTTACGTAACGACTAATTTGCTGTGATCGCCTCATTACCTTAATAATTTTCTTCTCATTTTATCTATATTTATTATTTAGTAGTTCTATTTTATCCTGTATCTTACCTTTATATTGTAGCTTTATCCTGTATGTGATATTATGTAATTGTTAAGAAGTTTCATATCGGTATAGCCATAGGGATGAAAATTTGATCTCTTTTATATGGACGTGAACAAACCTGCCATTATGAATTAGCTTTTGTGATGTGAGTTCGGCCAAAACCTAATTTAACAAGGTATCAGAGCCATAGCCAGACCCGTACCAATTTGTTGTTCGTCGATGTTGGGCCCCCACTTAGAAGTGTGCACGCTCCAGTTGAGGTGTGGGCGTGCAGGGGAGTGTTAAGTAGTCTCTCATCGGTAGAAGGATGGAAATTTGGTCTCCTTTTTGGGGTGTGAGTTAATGTAGTACGATACAATAGGATATATTATGAAACAATATGTAACACTCATCCAAAGAGTACATGTAATTGTTGACTCTCACATATTTAAGAATAGAAAGTTGATAAAATGTACTTTCAGTTGCACCTTTATCTTCTAGAATTTGTGTAATTATATAGCAATTTTATTTGCAACAATCTACATGGCTTAGCACTCACCAATTTGCATTCATTTGTAAAGTGAATTAGTTGATTAACTTTTGATCTCATTGTTGGCTATGCATTTTGAATCATTTCATTTCTAGATGGTTTTGGTGTTATTCACTTGCGTTCATTATGCATTTTTACCATGTGTTATTACTTGTGTAAAACTAGATCAAATATAAGTGCATCTTTTTGCTTCGTAATGATCTTTGCGTACATTTTTCCAGTTTTGCTGAGTATCTTTTGAAACTTGTGGTCTTTTTCATACAGAAGATTGTCGTAATGGCTGAACAAGAGTATGGTGGATCCACAGAGGCTCTGCCCCCTCCTCCCCCTGTTCCACTTGATTTCTCTCCAGAAAAAGCTGAACCAGCGCCGGTGGAGAAAAAGTTATTACGTGTTCCCATGGCTAGGCGTGGCCTTGGAAAGAAGGGACGCAATATTCAGATCCTTACCAATCATTTTCAAGTGAACGTATCTAATGTTGACGGACACTTCTTTCATTACAGTGTATGTTTTCACTAATATTTTCTCTTCTCAATACAATCACGTAACTCCATGACACTGTTACTCTATCTGTTAACAGGTTGCTCTATTTTACGAGGATGGTCAACCTGTCGAGGTTAAAGGAATTGGCAGAAAAGTTCTGGATAGAGTGCATGAAACATATCATGCAGAATTGGCTGGGAAGGGTTTTGCATATGATGGGGAGAAGAGTTTGTTCACCATTGGTTCATTACCTAGAAGTAGATTCGAGTTCACGGTTGTACTAAATGACATAACATCTAACCGGTTGGTTCTCATAGTGGCTTAGTTTAATGTGTACCCTAGTTCTTATTTTGGTTGTTAACTCTTTTAACCACCTTATATACAGGAACGTTGGAACCTCCAGCCCTCCTAATGAAGCTGATAGGAAAAGATTAAGGCGGCCGTATCAATCTAAAACTTATAAGGTGAAGATTAGCTTAGCTGGCAAGATTCCGATGCAGGCAATTGCAAATGCTTTTCGAGGTCAAGAGTATGAGAACTCTCAAGAAGCCTTACGAGTTCTGGATATAATTTTAAGGCAGCATGCTGCAAAAAAGTTAGTGATATGTCTATTACTACACAAGTAATTTTGTGCCTCTCTTGATTGGTATTAATGACTATTCTTTCTATTAGGGATTGCTTACTCGTTCGTCAATCCTTTTTCCATAATGACTCAAATAACTTCGTTGATGTTGGAGGTGGTGTTCATGGCTTGAGAGGGTTCCATTCAAGTTTTCGAACCACTCAGTCTGGATTGTCTTTGAACATTGGTAAATATTCTAGGATTCATGTTTGATAGCTGTTTCAAATAAAATGTGATCCATATCATGTGGTTTCTTTGATCACAGATATGTCTACCACAATGATAATAAAGCCTGGGCCAGTGCTTGACTTCTTGATAGCAAATCAAAATTCAAGAGATTCCGTTTCACTTGATTGGGCGAAGGTGTGCTGTTATGTATTTGATTATTGATCTTCTTGTATAATCATGGATTCTCTAACACCTGCTCAGGCAAAACGCGTGTTGAAGAATTTGAAAGTGCAGACTGCTACCTCTAACCAAGAATTCAAAATAACTGGATTGAGTGAAAAATCTTGCCGTGAGCAGACGTATGTTGGCAATGATCTAGTTATTTGTTGTTATCTTCAGCGAAAATGCACTTGGGCAGGATGTTCGACATTGATTATCTATAATGTAATGGTCTTGACATTTCTAGGTTTATTCTAAAGCGAAGGAGCAAAGATGAGGATTGTGAAGTGCAAACTTCAGAAGTGACAGTTTACGATTACTTTGTTAATCATTGTAACATAGACTTGCGATATTCTGCTGATTTGCCGTGCCTCAATGTTGGAAAGCCTAAACGTCCTACCTATTTCCCCATTGAGGTAAACATGTTGAGTTAAAGTTAACCGTTTTTATGTACTGTCTTTTGTTCATGCAGTTTTGAATTCTTTTATTGAATGTTACAGCTCTGCACTTTGGTCTCATTACAAAGGTACACAAAAGCCTTGTCCACCTTTCAGAGGGCTTCCTTGGTGGAGAAGTCCAGGCAAAAGCCTCAGGAGAGAATGCAAATTTTGAGCCATGTAGGTCCCTTCTACCTTTACATGATCTTTTGCTTCCTCTACTTATACTTGACTAATTTCCTACTGGATTGTGGAAGGCTCTCAAAATGAACAATTATGATGCTGAGCCTCTGCTTCATTCTTGTGGTGTCACGATCAATAGCGACTTCACTCAGATTGAAGGGCGTGTGCTGTCTGCCCCTGAGGTATCTATCTATTATAACTTCTTTTAGCAATATCTTTCAGTAGATGTAGTGAGTTTGAGGTGATATATTTGTTATGTGGCAGTTGAAGGCAGGAAATGGAGTTGATATTTTCGCGCAAAGTGGCAGGTGGAACTTTAATAATAAGGTAGAAGAACTCTTCTTTCACATATGATTTTTCCACTGGATCTATGGGGTTCATCTCATAATCTCATTTAACATGACGTTGGTTTTGAAATTGTATGCTGACTATATGATGGCTTGGAATTGCAGTATAGAGTTTTTTTTTTTCATTTTTATCTATCATGGCAGAGATTCTTTGAATCAGCAAAGGTAGAGAAATGGGCTGTTGTGAACTTCTCTACAAACTGTGATATCGGCAAACTAGTCGAATGTTTGACAGGACTTGGAGAGACGAAAGGAATTGTATGTTTTATCAACTTCTAATACTTAAAAACTGAGTAGAATGGACGAATTTCATTCCTGTTTTAACGTTACAGAGTGTGGAAGCTCCATTGAAAGTGTTTGAAGAGTCTCGACATCATAGAAGGGCTCCTCCTGTTGGCAGAGTTGACAAAATGTTTGAAGAGATCCAGTCAAAACTTCCTGACGCCCCAAAGTTTCTTCTCTGTCTTCTTCCTGAGAGGAAAAATTGTGACATATATGGTTAGTCCAATTTGCTTGTTCTGTTGACCACTAAGCATCTCTTAAGTACTAATTACTAAAACAATCGCCTGATGAAACTTGAAGGACCATGGAAGCGAAAAAATCTGGCTGATCATGGTATAGTAACTCAATGCTTGGCTCCTGGAAGAGTTAATGATCAGTATCTGACAAACCTTCTCCTTAAGATCAATGCTAAGGTGAGAGTTCTCTGCGCATCTGGTTCAGTGCTATCATCCTGGCACCTTACTTTCTTCCGTCATTTCCTGGATCAGTCTTAAACATCACAATTACTGTTGGCAGCTCGGTGGTTTAAATTCTATGTTAGCTGTTGAGGTTTCTCGTTCCATCCCCATGATATCTAAGGTCCCCACCATGATTCTTGGAATGGACGTATCACATGGCTCTCCCGGCCAGTCTGATGTCCCATCAATTGCTGCAGTAGGTTCTTTCATTGACGTTGCTTACCTTTTATACCCAATTGTTTAAAAAATTTCATTTATACTATTGCTTTGTCAGGTTGTGAGTTCAAGGCAGTGGCCTTCAATATCTCATTACAGAGCTTCTGTGCGCACTCAATCTCCTAAAGTGGAGATAATTGATAACATATTTAAAGAAGTTTCAGACACTAGAGACGATGGGATTATGAGGTGAGTTCAGTATCTTATTCATTTTAAAGCTTGGTTTCACTTTCTAATGGTTTTCTGCTTTTTCATATGGCGTAAAACTAATTGCCTAATGGTTTTTGGGTTCCCTTTATAATTCTGTTGTTGGTATCCTTTTGTTTTCCTAGAATTAACTTTCTGATCATAATTAAATTTCCAAATGCAGGGAACTTTTGCTAGATTTTCATGCGAGTTCCCAACAAAGGAAGCCTCAGCAAATCCTAGTATTCAGGTGATCTAACCCAGCCTGGTTCAGTAAATAATGTACATTCTAAGTGCTATTGCCCTATTATTGACACTACGCCTATGATGAATGTCTAAATGCTTCAGAAATTTGTATTGAGCACAACATTGGTTAGTTTTTATGGTTCTACCTCATTTTCCGTCATTTTTGTCCAGCTAATCTCTTGCTTTTAAGAGGATTCATGTAGCCGACCCAACTCTTGGGAATGAGAAGTAGTTTATTGACACATCTCTTGTTCTATTGTTTGTCATTATTACTGTGTGTTCCATCTGACAAACTCTTCACACAGCAGTGTACTTTGTACACTTCTTTGATGGTTTTTGCTAATGTCAGGGATGGTGTCAGTGAATCTCAATTTAATCAAGTTCTAAACATAGAACTGGACCAGATCATTGAGGTTCTGCACTCTGATAAATGCTGTCTTGATATATAATTTGGAAAATACGAGAGATTCTCGTGCTAACTCATCTGTTCTATCCATGTAGGCCTGCAAGTTTCTAGATGAAAAGTGGTCGCCCAAGTTTGTTATCATTGTTGCACAGAAAAATCATCATACAAAGTTTTTCCCGTATGGATCTGCTAATAATGTTCCACCAGGTAATAATAAAAGTCGCAGCAAATTTTAGTTGTATAATGAAATCAATGTGTTTACACAGATTTTTTGCAGGGACAATTATAGATAACAAAGTTTGTCATCCAAGGAACAATGACTTCTATCTGTGCGCCCATGGTGGAATGATTGTGAGTTATTTGTTCTGTTTTGTGCCATTCCGTTGACGTTTGGTGTAATGTTTATATCATCATATGATGTTTACTTGGATATTGTTGTGTAGGGTACGACTCGACCTACACATTACCATGTGTTGTTAGATGAAGTTGGTTTCAAACCTGATGAACTTCAAGAACTTGTTCATAATCTGTGCTATGTGTAAGTATTGCATATTACTGGATTCTTCGTAGGCTCGACTGAGTTTTAACCTTCAAGTACTCAATAGCAGTTGCAGTCATTCTAATTGTTATACACACTTCTTGCAGGTACCAGAGAAGCACTACTGCAACATCCATTGGTAAATATAAACATACACAACTTGTGCTATTTGCTGCTGTTCTTCCCCACCCCTCCACGCGCAAATGCATATAACGTTATATTTCCCTTTTTTGCTTGATTACATGTTTTGTTTGTGCTCTCACTTCCTTTTTTGTGCTGTGCAGTGGCTCCGATAGGCTATGCCCATTTAGCCGCTGCACAGGTTGGACAGTGGATGAAATCCGAGGGCACATCAGAGACATCATCAAGCCAGGATGGTCTGAGAAATGCTGGTCCAGTTACTGTTCCTCAGTTGCCCAGACTTCAGAAGAATGTTGCTAGCTCCATGTTCTTCTGTTGAGGCCTCCGTTTGATCGAAATTTAGTCGAGAATTCAATGTGAACTCGAGAGACAGAATATGATAGACTGGGTTATAGTCTTTGGTTGATTGTATATGCACATTTAACTCTAAAAAAGATATTTTGCACAAGTAACAATATGATTGGTTTTGATCGGTGGTATGTCATAGATTGAAATATTTTAATGAGATTATTTTGTTTCGAGGTAACTTATCTCATTATTTATATTAAAATTGTAGGACAATACAATTGTAAAATTAAATAACACATAATATAATAATTCCCCCACCAACCAAATGACCCGTAGAATCGAGAGATAATGTTTCACTTCATAAACAAGATCCACTGTATTACCAAAAAGTTTGTTACTATTATTTAAATTCTTGAAAATTTAAAATTCATTATAAATCGGTACTTTTATTAAACTTACGTTTCATTTTTGATATTTTATGTCCGTTACGATGATGAAATATTTAATGTAATTTATAAATAAGAACTGCTTCCAATAAATTTTGCACTTCAAAAAATATATATATGTATTTTTTGAAAATAATAAAATTAAGTGAACAAGTGGATATATAAATCAGAAAGTGACCGCTAAACAAGCTGTAAGAAGACTATTATGCCCTTGTGTTGGATTTTCCTCTTATCCACAAAAGAAAAAACAGTTTGAAGAGAACATAGATTGTAACGAAGGGACACGTGGGGATCAAAGAGAGTGATTAGTTACAGTTGTTAATGTTTTTAGGTGCACTAGTTGCTGTCACTCTCTAGTTCAACTACAACCTCACTCTTTTATTTTCTCTTTTGTCGTACATTAGGGTTTCACCTCTTCACTCTGTTTCTTCATCCGCCATTTTTGAGCTTTAGGTATGGTAGTTTTGACTAAATTTGGTGTTTTCTTGAAGTATGGCATGTGGGTTTTTTGTTTAACTGTGTAATGTGGTTGAAATGCTATCTGGGGTTTGTCTTTTACCTCTCTTTATGTGGTTATAGTGGAAAGTTTTGGTCTTTGTGGTGTTTGAAGGATTTTTTAGTTGACTTATTTTTCAAACCCAGAAAGCTGAAGAAGACTTATTTTGAGTTAAATTTGGTGTTTTCTGGAAGTATGTAGCATGTGGTTTTTTGGTTTAACTGTGTAATGTGGTTGAAATGCTATCTGGGGTTTGTTTTTTACCTCTTTTTTTGTGGTTATAGTAAGTTCTGGTCTTTGAAGGCTTTTTAACTTGATGTATTCTTTCAAAACCTAGTAAGCTCAAGAAGACTTATTTTTTTGGTGTTTTCTTGAAGTATAGCATGTGGTATTTTGTTTAACACTGTAATGTGATTGAAGTTCTACCTGAGGTTTGTTTTTTACCCGTCTTTTTTGTGGTTATAGTTAAAAGTTCTGGTCTTTGTGGTGTTTGGAGGCTTTTTTGAGTTGACTTATATTTCAAACCTAGTAAGCTGAAGAAGACTTATTTTGTGTTAACTTTGGTGTTTTGTTGAAGTATAGCATGTGGATTTGTTGTCTAATAGTGTAATGTGGTTGAAATGCTGTCTGAGGTTTGTTTTTTTCTCTCTTTCGTGTGGTTATAGTGAAAAGTTCTGATCTTTGAGGTGTTTGAAGGCTTTTAACATGATGTATTTTCTGAACCTAGTAAACTGAAGTAGACTTGTTTTGAGCTAAGTTTGGTGTTTTCTTGAAGTATAGCATGTGGATTTTTTGTTATCTGTGTAGTCATTTGAATGTGGTCGAAATGCTATCTGGAGTTTGGTTTTTAACCCTCTGTTTGTGCTTCTGGTAAAAAATTGAGTGCTTTGTGGTGACTGAAGGCTTTATAACTTTGACATATTTTCAAAACTGTTTCGAGCCAAGTTTGGTGTTTTCTTGAAGTATTGCATGTGGGTATTTTGTTATATGTGTAGCTCTTTGAATGTGGTTGAAATGCTACCCGGGGTTTGTTTTCCTCTCTTTCTTTGTTCTTCTGGTGGAAAGTTTAGGGCTTTGTGGTGTTGAAGGCTATTTGATTTTAACATAGTTTTTTAACCAGTAAGCTGAAGATGACTTACTTTGAGCTGACTTCGGTGTCTTCTTGAAGTAAAGCATGTGGGTATTTTGTCATTCGTGTAATTTATTTGGATGTGGTTGTCTGGGGTTTGTTTTTTATCCCCCCCCCCCCCTTTTTTTTTTACAGTCAAAAGTTCTGATTTTGTGGTGTTGAAGTCTGTTTAATTTGACATATTTTTCAAACCCAGTTACCTGAAGAAGACTTTTTTTGAGCTAAGTTTGGTGCTCCCTTGAAGTATAGCATGTTGGTATTTTGTTTTCCATGTAGTTCTTGAATGTGGTGAAACGCTATCTGGGTTTTGTTTTTACCCCCCTTTTTTGTGATTATAGTGAAAAGTTCTGGGCTTTGTGATGTTGAAGGCTTTTAAAATTGACTTTTTTTAAAGAAAAATCCAGTAAGCTAAAGAGGACTTATTTTGAGCTAAGTTTGGTGTTTTCTTGAAGTAAAGCGTGTGTATTTTGTCATTTGTGTAATAACTTGGATGTGGTTGTCTGGGGTTTGTTTTTTACCCCTCTTTTTTTGTGATTATAGTGAAAAATTCTGATCTTTGTGGTGTTTGAAGGCCTTTTAACTTGATTTATTTTGAGCTAAGTTTGGTGTTTTCTTGAAGTAAAGCATGTGGGTTTTTGTTATCTATGCTTGAAATGTTATTTGTGATTATAGTGAAAAGTTCCCTTTTTTTGGTGCTTCTAGTGAAAGTTCTGGGCTTGTTGAAGGCTGTTTTCAAAACCAGTAAGCTGAAGCAGACTTTTTATTCTGTACTAAGTTTGGTGTTTTTCTTGAATTATAGCATGTGGGTATTTTGTTATTTGTGCTTGAAATGCTATCTGGGATATGTTTCCCCCCCTTTTTTTGTGCTTCTAGTGGAAGTTCTGGGCTTTGTGGTGGTCAAGGCTGTTTCACTTGAAATGTTTTTTTTGAAACCAGTAAGCTGAAGAAGACTTATTTTGTGCCAAGTTTGGTAAATTCTTTATGTATAGCATGTGGGTATTTCGACATTTTGTTACCTTCTCTTTTTTTTTTTTTTTGGCTTCTAATGAAAAAATCTGGCCAATATACATGGCTTAGCACTCACCAATTTGCATGCACTCATTTGTAAAGTGAGTTACTGTTTTAGTTATGACCTCTGTTGGATACTGCATTTTGGGTCTTTTCAATCCTAGATGTTTTTGGTGTTAATTCACTTGCATTTCATTATGCATTATCACCTTTTGAATTGTCATCTCATGTGTTATTACTTGTCTAAAACTAGATCAAAGACTGGAAGTGATTAGTAGTTGTATGCATTTAGTTTCTTTTATTGACTGCTTCCTAAGTGTATCTTTTTGCCTAGAAAAGATCTCTGCATACTTCTTTTCCAGTTTTTCTGAGGATCTTTTGGAACTTGTGATCTTCTTTACAGAAGATTGTGGTAATGGCTGAAGAAGAGAATGGTGGATCCACAGAGGCTCTGCCTCCTCCTCCCCCTGTTCCACTTAATTTCTCTCCTGCACAAGCTGAACCAGAGCCAGTGAAGAAGAAGGTTTTACGTGTTCCCATGGCAAGGCGTGGCCTTGGAAGCAAGGGACAAAAGATTCCGATCCTTACCAATCACTTTAAAGTGAACGTGTCTAATGTTGATGGACACTTCTTTCATTACAGTGTATGTTTTCACATACCTCTCCTTGATATGCTCCTATCTTTTCTCTTCTCAATACAATCATGCAACTCCATGCCATTTTTAACAATATCTGATAACAGGTTGCCTTATTTTATGAGGATGGTCGACCTGTCGAGGGAAAAGGCATTGGCAGAAAAGTTCTGGATAGAGTGCATGAAACATATGATACAGAATTGGCTGGGAAGGATTTTGCATATGATGGGGAGAAGAGTTTGTTCACCATCGGTTCACTACCTAGAAATAAACTAGAGTTCACAGTTGTACTAGATGACATAACATCTAATCGGTTGGTTCTCAGAGGCTTAGTTTAATGTGTTCCCTAGTTCTTATTTTGGTTGTTTGACACTTTTTATCATCTTATATACAGGAACAACGGTACCAATGGCAACTCTAGCCCTGGCAGACATGGAAGCCCTCCTAATGAAACTGATAGGAAAAGATTAAGGCGGCCATACCAATCTAAAACTTATAAGGTGGAGATTAGCTTTGCTGCCAAGATTCCAATGCAGGCGATTGCAAATGCTTTGCGAGGTCAAGAGTCTGAGAACTCTCAAGAAGCCTTGCGAGTTTTGGATATAATTTTAAGGCAGCATGCTGCAAAACAGTAAGTTATGTGTCTATTACTACAGAAGTATTTTTGTGCGCCTCTTGATTGTTACATAATGACTTTTCTTATATTGGGGGTTGTTTACTTGTTCGTCAATAGTTATGTGTCTATGACTACAGAAGTATTTTTGTGCCTCTCTTGATTGTTACATAATGACTATTCTTATATTAGGGGTTGTTTACTTGTTCGTCAATCCTTTTTCCATAATGATCCTAAGAACTTTGCTGATGTTGGCGGTGGTGTTCTGGGCTGCCGAGGGTTCCATTCAAGTTTTCGTACCACCCAGTCGGGATTGTCATTGAACATTGGTAAATATCTATCTTTCATGTTTCATACTTATCTCAAATGAAATGAGGTTCATATTTTGTGTTTCCTTGATCACAGACGTGTCTACCACTATGATAATCCAACCTGGGCCTGTGGTCGACTTTCTGATAGCGAACCAAAATGCAAAAGATCCCTTTTCACTTGATTGGGCAAAGGTGTGCTGTTATATATTTGATTATTTATCTTTTTGTATAATCATGTTCTAAGCAATGTATTCTCTACACTTGATCAGGCAAAACGCGTGTTGAAGAACCTGCGAGTGAAGACTGCTCCCGCTAACCAAGAATTCAAAATAACTGGATTGAGCGAAAAACCTTGTCGTGAGCAGATGTATGTTAGTAATGATCTATTTATTTCTACCTTGGCTCAACTAATACACACATGTGCAGGATGGTCAACATTGATTTGTTATAATGTAATGGGGCAAGCTCATTTTATTCTCTTGACATTTTTAGGTTTACTCTAAAGCAGAAGAGCAAAGATGAGGATGGTGAAGTGCAAACTTCAGAAGTGACTGTTTATGATTACTTTGTTAATCATCGTAACATAGACTTGCGATATTCTGCCGATTTGCCGTGCCTCAATGTTGGAAAGCCTAAACGTCCTACCTATTTCCCCATTGAGGTAAACATATTGAGTTAAAGTTAACCGTTTTTATGTACTGTCTTTTGTTCAT